TATTTATGTCCCTTTGTCCTATTTATTTGTTTTATTTGATTGTATTTGTTCTTTATTTTCCATGGCCTATGGTTTGGTTTCTAAAGAAGTTATGCGGTCTGGTCGGCAAATATAACAACAAACATATGATGTAGTAAATTTGTTTTTTTTTTTGCCATTCACTCTATCTTAAAGATTTTAATTTAGTTTGTTGGATTCTTAATTACATTTCATATATGTGGGCTTCTTTTAAATATTAGGGTGGCATTATCATTATTTTTATACACTCAGCCATATGTGTAGATCATTTGATTCGGCCAAAACGCGCCTCATAGAAATAATGATTTTAGACCCCTAGGTATTTTTGGACCGAATTCCTTTCAGGATATTTGGAGGCGATCTAGCGATGTCCGTTCGTCTGGCTGGTGTGTATGATAACTCTCAAAGGGTGTATCCGATTTGGTCCAAACTTGCTAAATCGTAATACTATGAAACTTAGATCGAGTTCGAAGATGAACAATATCGGCCCACTCCTTCTGGTACCTTAAAAAATATTTTTCGGCACATAAAGAAAAAGGATAATTCGATTTTGCTCCAATCTTGCAAATCCTAATATTTGTATCAGTGCTAAGTCAAGTGCGAAAGTAAGCAATATCGGTTTCCTCCATCGAGTACCTTCTTTCACGAAGGGCCAATATTTTGAATAATTATAACTCTTATAAAATGTGATATAAGAGTTCGACTTTCTTCAAATTTCACACATCACACTATTTTTATGAACTCAAGGTCTGTTGTGGAGGTGACATATATCGGCGCACTCCTTCTGGTAACACCCCCACAAAGATTCAAATTTTTGAATTTCCATGTAGCTTATAAAACGCGAAATTAACATTCGATTCCATTCAAACTTGGCACATCTCAATATTCCCATCAACTCAAGATCTGTTATAAAGATGGTAAAAATCGGATCGGATTTCTTCTGGTACGTCCCCCACATAAAATTGAAATAAGTATCCGAATTTCTTCAAATTTCACACATCCAAACATTTTTGCCAACACAAGATCTGTTGTGTAGATGATATATATATGCGAACCCCTTCTGGTACCTCACCCACAGAGGGCCACAATTTTCAGTCACTATTTAGTACCACATAGTACTTTGTTAACAGATACCACCAAAGGCCTTAATATCAAATTTCGGGATTCCAGTTCGAACCTTTCAATTTATAAAAAAAAATTAATACCATTTAGCACTTTTTGTACAAAATTTGGACTCAATTCAAAACCACCGCCAAATCTCAAAAACAAATAACAACAGAGATCTTAAAATCAAATTTCAGAGTTTTATCGCTATTCTATCACCCAATACCAAATATAGTATAATTCAGTAATTTTCGTACAAATTCGTACACATTTCTGAAACCTCTTCCATATGTTCAGGCTACACATGAACAGCGACCCTAATACCAAATTTCGGATTCTATCTATTGACCCAACACCAAATTTTACCAAATACTTTTCGTGCACTTAAAGTACACATTTTCAAAACAAGCTCTTTTCCACAAACCTACCACCAACAGGGACCCCAATACCAAATTCCAGCTTCCTCTGTTTACCTTAAACCAAACTATTCCACATTTGGTTCAGTTAGCATACTTCCAAGCGCACTTTCGAACATTAAACTTACTTACCAACATCGATTCTTATACCAAATTTCAAGTTCTTAGTTTTATCCGTTATCAAAATACTAAATGGCAACATTTTAGAAGCTTTCTAACAATTTAGAGCTTTTTGTAACCTTAAAGTTCAAATTTCCATAAACTCTTCGGGACAAATATCCTGCAATCCTTCAGAAACTCTCATTCCAAATTTTTAGAATTCTAGCTAATTCCATTTTCATTCCAATATAAATTATTTAATTTTTAGTATTTTATATTTTTAGTACGAAATTCCCAAAACCCAGCCTTGCCACAGGCCTACGCATCAAGGCTGACCCTCGTACAAAATTTCAAAATTCTAGCTCGATTATGATATCGGAGCAGGAGTGCGTATAATCGACCCCCAGATGTGTAGATCATACGCAACCCAATTCAAAAAAAAAAAAATACCGTATTTTGAATATTTTTGGCATTTCATACGGGACACTGTAGTTATTTTTAAACCCTCAACCATATGGCTACCTAGGCTATACATCATTTGATAGTCAAAAACGTGCCTAATAAAAAAAAAAAAAACGGTTTAAGACCCTAGGTATCTTCGGGCCAAATCCGTTTCTTGCGATGTCCATCCCTTCGCCTGTCTGTATGGCTGGTTGGTGCGCACGATAACCCTCGAAATGAGTATCCAATTTGATTTAAATTGGTACATCGCAATACTTTTGTCAAATGTTAGATTGATTCCGGAGATGGGCAATATCGGCCTACTTCTTCTGGTAGCTCCCCCACATAAGGTATAAATTTTCACAGGAAATAATTTACCTTGCAGAACAAGTAAGGACCATCTACTGTTGTGCAAACTTTGCAAATTCTAATATTTTTATCAGTACCATGTCGGGGAGGAAAATGGACATTACCGGTCAACTCCTTTATGTCAACAACATTTGAAATAATTATAACTGTTGTAAAATGAGAAATATGAGCATTCGTTTCTACTAAACTCGGCACAGCATAATATTTCTATCAAAACAAGATCTATTCTGGAGATAGGAAACACCACTATTTTTTTTTTTTTTTTTTAATAATATATTTTATATATATTGAATAATATTTCTCATAGAATGCGAAATAAGCATCCTATTCTCTTCAAGTTTTACACAGTCCAATATTTTTATTTAGACAAGATATGGTTTGAAGATAGGAAATATTGGCCCACTCCTTTTAATACCTCCCCCACAGAGGGGTTAACATTTTGAATAGCCAATGTTCTAGGGATTTGTCTAAAAATTTATATTTGTAGGCCATAACGGATTCTAGCTCCGGTGGTCATAATGGGTTCTAGCTCCAGTGGTGTACGTATTGGTCCACGTTTTTGTACAGCCCCCATATGATCGTACCTCCCGATATTCGGAATTTTGATGATTTTTGCCACATTTTTCAACGAATTTGTTTAAAAATTGGTATTTGTAGGTTATAATGGGTTCTAGCTCCAATGGCAGAACATTGCATATTTAGGTCCACGTTTTCCTATAGCGCACATAACGATACCCCCGAAATTCGGTATTTTGATAATCCTAGTCACATTCATCAACGAAATTGCTTTAAAATTTGGTATTTAAGAAGAGTTGATGGATGACAATCCTTGAAGTATAAAATTGTCTATAGAGGTTCCCCGTTTTAGTATGGTCCCCACTTTATGTTTTTTTGAAGCACTTTTGAATGCAGATACTTTAATATAAAAATGTTGTCCTTACCCAAAGGTAAAGGGCATTAAAAGTTCGTCCTGGCCAAAATTAATCTTTTTTCCCCTTTTTTTTACTTGTTTTAAGATAAATCAAGAACAGTAATTTCATAATCCTTCAGTACAAACATATGGACACCAGAAATCAGATTACAGTAATCCTATATCTATAGTTGATTAAATCCTCTTGCCTATATTTTTTTATCACTTTCAATTTTATCACCCTAATATATATATAAATATATATATGTATGTACATATATCCCCATAAAATATTTTATTCTCCATAAAAATAAACAAATTTCATTCATGGCTTTATCTTTATTCACATTGTTGTTGTTGTTTTTTCCTTTCTAATTTATTACAGATCTCAAAAATGTATCTCGGCATGAAATGGAAAATTTGGACCAAATAATAAATCCGGCCACAAAAATTTGTTATGGGGGCAGTTGTTGCTGCGGTAGTTTTGCCAATAGAAATTTTTCGATTTAATGAAATGTCACAAAAATTTATAATCTCCCATGGGGAGACAGACAAACAACGGCAACAACTACAACAGCAGCCAGAACGATAGAAATATACAACAATATAAATAACAAAACTTAACTCGAACAGAGATAAAACTTATAAATGCCGGAGATTTACAAGCAACCAAACACACATACATTCTACGGCATGTTACTGGGCCTACTATGTACGTACGTCTGTGTAATAATGGCAAATGTATTGTGACAATGTGAGTGTTTCTCTGAGTGTGTGTGTATACGTACTTTAAAAAAGATATGAATGTAAAAAACAAAACGAAAAGAAATGCGAAAAACAAAAATCATCATCATGATCAACTACCGCATGAAATAATAAATTACCAACAAAATGCAATGCCACACAGCAATTCCAGCAGACAATAGAGACAACAACGGCTCATATCTCAACTCGACTCAAATGGCTAATACAGAGCAGCAGCAGAACCAGCAGCAACAGTATATACGGCTAAAACTGAAACTAAAACTGCGAATTCATGCGAGAATAAATATGAAATCAAATAATAAAAATAAGTTAAAAAAGCTATAGTAGAACGAAAAGAAAAAAAATAAAATAAAAGAGAAAAACAAAACAGAGCACAAAACTCAAGCCAAAATAGAGGAAAAAACACAAAATAGAGAAATAAAGCAAATCACAAAAATTCGCAAAAAAAGAAAAACCAAAAAACAGCATAACTGCTAAGCCAACATAAGATAGCGAGCATAACGACAAAAACAAACCGAACAAAAAAACTATTAAAACAAAAGATAGTTATCAAAATACACATACACTCACATCCACATAAATCGTTGGGAATGAGGAGGACCAATGTGTGTTAGTATGAGTGCTTGAAACGGGAACTCTCACACACAAACTCTTCCTCCAACGCCGAATCCATACAATCTCTGCGCGCAAAGTAATAACCGGAAACAGTAACTATTCCAACAACAAATCCCGTGTAACCACCAGAAACCACCGAAATAAAAATAGGATCCCAAGGAAATACAACAAAACAATACAGGCTAGCTACACACACACATATATATATATACATTTGCTTGGTTAGCATGTTTAAATAAGTATTGCAAAGCAATAGCTAATAACATATAAACCGACACTCACACACACATACATATTCCTCTCTCTTGTGTGTGAGTGAGTAAGTGAGTGTTTGCGAGTGCGTCTAACGAGAAATATAACAAATTGTAAATACCATTCGTTTATTTATTTGTTTTCTCGCCATGTTTCTTGTAACATAGATAAATACATACATGCAAAGAGACAAACAGACAGACAGACATACATAAATTCGTATCTAACAAACCAAAGAGTTATATCGTTGTGATCCCACACCCGCCTGCCGTATCACTGCTGCCCTGCTGCATCAGCCAGTATCCTCCTCCAAAACATACATCAATTGTAATTTGTAAACCCAACCTCCAACTCAACCTCAACGAAAATGGCTCTTCGTATTTCAGCGAAATATAAAAATCATTTGGGTCTCATCATTTATGGTTTTGCCGGTCTTTTGTTGCTGTCACTGTCGACACCATTTGCCATTGCCGGACGTTTATTTGGTAAGTCTTTTGGCCTGTTTGTTTTTTATTATCATCTTGAGGTTTACCCAAATAAATTTTGTCATTAATTTTGATTGTATTAATAGAAATTCAATGTAGGCCATCCTGCTGTTTGTGTGCCCATACAAGAGGGAAATAAAATTGTCAGGGTCAAATTTAGTATTTAAATGCCTTGGAAGGTTTTCTTTTTCGTTATTTAATTTATGTACGTTTTATTTTTGTTTATGATGTTAATTTGGTGAATATCGTATTATTCGCGCATACTAATGATCACATCTCAATTATTACAAAAAAAAAAAAAAAAAAAAAAAAATAAATAAATAATAAAACAAATAAAAAAGCTGTAAGTTCGTCCGGGCCGATCTTTGAATACACTCCACCATTTGGTACAAAAATAAAATATAAAATAAAATAAAATCCGTTTAAAATTATGTTAAAATCTTAAAAATGCCGAATGTAGCAGTATATTAGGGTATATACGACGACGTGGACCTTAGGCAACTTTTAAATTATTACAATATTCAAATGAGAAACTTGAAAAAAATCCCTTTATAATGTAGCTAAAATCATCAAAACACTGAAAATCGGGGGTGCCGTTTAATAGGGGCTATTCGAAGACGTGGACCTGTACAGACAATCTTCTGTCATAGGCTGTAGTATTCATTACGACCTTCAAATGCGACATTTGAAACAATTCCAGTAAATTATGCCTCCAAAATCCTCAAAATACCCAATATCGGGAGTTACCGTTATATGGGGGCTATACGAAGACGTGGACCTGCACAGGCAATTCATTACGAACTTCGAATACCAAATTTGAAATAGTTCCGGTAAATAATGTCGCTAAAATCATCAAAATACAGAATATCGTTACCGCATATCGGGAGGTACCTGTAGATTAGGGCTATACGAAGACGTGGACCTACATGGCCCATTTTCAATACCAAAAATCCTGCAGACATAATTCACAAATAACAGTATATGTGAAATATGAAGAGAACCAGATGCTTATATGGAATTTCATAATCGTTTTAGTTATTCAAAATATTGGCGTTTTGTGTGGGAGGTAACAGAATGAATGGCCCAATCTCTACCATCTTTATAACAGAACTTGTGTTGATAGAAATATTGAGATGTGCCAAGTCTGAATGAATTCGGATGTCAATGTTTTATGAGCTTCAGGGATATTCAAAATTTTGACCCTTGGTGGGAGTGGACCGATATACTTAATCTTCAAACCAGACCTTGAGTTAATAAAAATCTTGTGATGTGTGTAATTTGAAGACAATTGGGCCTTTACATCACCTAATATAAGAGTTATAATTCTTCAATATGTTAAGCCTTTATGGGGGAGGAACTTGATGGAGTAAACCAATATGTTCCATTTTCTTACCTGACCTAGCACTGATTCAAGTATTAGGATTTGCAAAAGCTAGAGCAAAATCGGATTACCCTTTCTCTTTCTGTGTAGTAAACTAGTTGTTTTCTACCTCTTGTGAGAGAGGTACCAGATATCCTGAAATGTCCTGAAACGGAGTTGGTTCAAAGAGGCCTATGGTCTAAAATCTTTATTTCTATGATTCACGTTTTTGGGCCGTATCAAATCATATACAAGGTGAGATAAAAAAACTTCACCCCACTTAGGACTGCTGTCATTTCTAAGCCACTCGTACGACAGCTGTTAAAATTATTCCAGTGACATTATATTATTTACAAGCGTAAAAAAGCATTTTGGTGAGAATTTTCCAGAAAGAAAGTTATTCGTGATGGAATTCAAGCGTGATAGTGTGATTTCTTTATATTTGGCTGGAAAACCACAAGTGGCTATCGTTAGAGCACTCCAGCATTTAAATGTGAATAAATCTTTTGTGTCTCGTACCATCGCTCGTTATCGTGATACTGGTAGCGTAGACCGACGTCAACGAAGTGGACGGAAGAAAACAGCAACATCAGCAGAAATTTTTCGAAATGTAAAGAAGCGACTTGATCGAAACCCTTGTCGTAGTGGCCGAAAACTGGCTTGTGTGCTGAACATATCGCAATATTCTTTTCGGCAAATATTGACAAATGAGCTCGAGCTAAAGCCATTGAAATTCCAAAAAGTGCAAGAACTTACACCGCAACAGAAAGAAAATAGACTCAAAGGAGCTGAAGGGTTGCTTCGCTTTGCCAAAAGTGGTGAAGTGCCGAATTTGGTTTTTTCCGATGAGGAAGTTTGTAAACATACAAAATAATTGTGTTTACTTGCAAAGAGGTCAGCTGAAAATTTGCATCTTCGGCCACCATAACAGCCAATGGTCGGTCTCCGCTCGTATTAGTCGAACGTGGCATCAGAATAAATGCCGAAGATTATTGCGAAAATATTCTGGAGGAACAACAGGACTCAGCACCATCGCACTCAGCTCGCGCCACCCAAGACTGGTTACAAAATGAGGTTCCTCGCTCCATTTCCAGCGTACAATGGCCACCAAAATCTCCGGATACAAATCCGTTGGACTATTGTGTCTGGAGTATTTTGGAGAGCAAGGCTGGCACTAACAAATACCAAAGTGTCGATCAACTGAAGCAAGCGCTTCGCCGGGAATGCCCCAATATACCACAATTCAACATTCGGGAAGCTTCGTGCCGTGATCGATTCGAACAAATCTAAACTTATTCTAAAATGTGATGCCACCCTTTTCAATGGAATTGTCTTAAAATCCACACAAGTTATTCCTTGTGAGTACTTTATACCTCGACTGAGGATTATCTATATAGGTCCACGATATCGTATAGCCTTCATATAACGGTACCCCCGATATTCGGTATATTGGTGTTTAAAGATTTGAAAAGAATTTTTAATGGATTTTATTTTTTTTTTGAAAATTTTCTAATTCGTTCAAATGGTGGAGGGTATTCAAAGTTCGGCGCGGGCGAACTTACTGCTTTATTACTTGTTATTTAATACAATTTAAGAACAAAATGTAAAAATTATGGTGTTTGACTTTGTTGCATTTTTTTATCTCACCCTATATACTCTCTGGCTGAGGGTACCTTGGCACATTTCCGAAATATTCTTCCTGATATTAACCCTTATATTTTTTTTATTGGACTTCAACCGTAAATGGTACATAATTAAACGAAAATTGATTATATCGGATATTTCTCCCCCTCCTCCTCCCAAAAAATACTCGTTCCAAGTATTTTCTCATTTCTATTAGACCAAATGAAATGCTTATTTAACAATAACATGATACTATGGGCCAATAATCCCGAGTTTTATTTAGTTTTTGGGAGTTGACTTAATTGACCATTACATGTTTTTCTTGCGGGGCCATTTGCATTTAGCTGTTGTCGCTCTTGTTGTTGTAACAAATGTTTGCTGCTAATATCCCTCTAGTGTTGTTGTGGCTTTTATTGGCCATTTTCGGAATACTCGCATTATAATTATTGTTGGCTATCACAAATGTCAATAAGTTGTCAAGATTATTGACAGATAACATGCCAAGTGTTGTGTAAAACAAATACATGGCCGGCACCACCCATCCATTTGGACACACCAACACACACACACGGACACTCTCGCACACGCACATTTATTAATTACAATACTACCTCGCCCATCTTCCCACCCCCACCTCCGACTCCTTCATGTCACCTCTCAATAGAATGTGAGAATGTGAAGACTTTAATTAAAATCATGTTTTATTTCATTTCTTTTCGGTTAGCCGTTTTGTTGTTGTTGCTGCTGTTTTTGTTGCCGTTAAGGATAATGTTATTGTCGCTATTTTTTGTCCTGGCCAACAGATGATGACAGTTTTATTATGTTTTTATGTGCGGATTTTTTTTTGCGCTCGCCATACAATTGCTTTTAGCAGTGCAATATTAACCAAAACGACGAACAACAAAAAAAGGGGGTAAACAAACAGGGCTAAGGTATAGGCGCAACCAAACAAAATGAAAACAGAAATTATAAAAGGTAGGATATCAAAAGGAAATGTTGCATGCCACACACTTTGTGTTTTTTTGCCGGAGTGTGTGTGTGTGTGTGTTAGTGCGTTCGTGTGTATTTCCTTTTTTATTTTGTCGCTCTGTGGTTTAATAAAAATGTAAATGTGTGAACAACAATGATTTGGCATGTCATCATCATCATCATCACCACCATCGTCACTGAATGCGGTTTGGTTAAGGAATGAAATTAAAGAAGGCCACCACGCAAACACACATTTACCGAATTACTCAACAAGTTGCAAGTCTGAAAAGGGGAAAATTTTCGTTTTTTTTTTGTTTGATGGACATTGTGTTTTTTTTTTGTGAAAGTAGAAAAATAAATAAAGGTATTTAAGGACTTAATGACTCAACATTTAACGACAAATGTCAGATGTCATTTTTTTTCGTTTTCAAATAAAATATATGCTATTGTTGGTAATTTGAATTATTAATACCAATTATTTTAATTAAAATTATGCTCAATATAAAACGAGTAAAGAAAGTCTTAAAGTATGATACCCTACACCACTTTGCTAATTTAGTAGAGCTCCACATAACAATAAAAAGTGTTACGATTATTTGTATCTTTTAATTTCGGACATATGTTGCCCATTTGGTAATTTAAATAATTTAAATCGGATAAAAAAAAAATATGGGAGCTCTACCCAAATCTGAATCGATTTCGATATAATTTGGCAAAGATATTTCTGAGCTGTATTTGATATATTTCCTTGACTATCGTTGTTACGGAGAGCATATTAGGGTTGTGGGTAACAAATATAACAAATCGGATGAACAAAATATGTGGAAGCTATAGCTACATCTGAACCGATCTTCAACAAATTTGACACACTTGCTTCTACTGCTCAATTCGGCCGTAAGTGCCAAATTCCATCCCATTTAGGCAAATATTAGACGTTTGGTGCACAATAAAAGGTAAATCGGACGAATTTATGTACGGGAGCTATATCCAAATCTGAACCGATCTCGTTAATATTTAGCAAATTTATTTCTGAGCTGTATTTGATATA